TAAGTGAAAGATGATTCCACTTCATTATGCTGTTAATGAAAAAATGCAATGAATGGATGATCTTTATTCATGACACATTGAATATCATGTTCCTTTGTTTTCCTAAACAATTAGGACTAGAAATCACTCCACTTCTTTATAGTGGTCTTATCTGCTTTTTTTAGCTATTATACCTTATAAGGCTGTTTATTTAAAAGTTACTAGGATTATGTCAGGTGTCCAGCATTAAAGATTAAATCATTTTCACAAAATTCACTCATGTGGTATGATTAACATAATTGCCAGATGTTTTGAGCTAACTTTTCATCGTTTGGCCCCACCAGAGGATGCTGACCAGTCAATCCTGTCAAGTTAATGTGATCCTTTATCACCATTATGTCACCACTGTTGTAATCTTGATTGAGACCTCCAGAGGCATTCGTTACAATGAGAGTCTCAACGCCAATTAGCTTCATCATTCTAATTGGCATTGTAACCTATGGGGAATGAGTAAATAATAATTGGCATTGTAACCTATGGGGAATGAGTAAATAATAATTGGCATTGTAACCTATGGGGAATGAGTAAATAATAATTGGCATTGTAACCTATGGGGAACGAGTAAATAATAATTGGCATTGTAACCTATGGGGAACGAGTAAATAATAATTGGCATTGTAACCTATGGGGAATGAGTAAATAATAATTGGCATTGTAACCTATGGGGAATGAGTAAATAATAATTGGCATTGTAACCTATGGGGAACGAGTAAATAATAATTGGCATTGTAACCTATGGGGAACGAGTAAATAATAATTGGCATTGTAACCTATGGGGAATGAGTAAATAATAATTGGCATTGTAACCTATGGGGAACGAGTAAATAATAATTGGCATTGTAACCTATGGGGAACGAGTAAATAATAATTGGCATTGTAACCTATGGGGAATGAGTAAATAATAATTGGCATTGTAACCTATGGGGAATGAGTAAATAATAATTGGCATTGTAACCTATGGGGAATGAGTAAATAATAATTGGCATTGTAACCTATGGGGAACGAGTAAATAATAATTGGCATTGTAACCTATGGGGAACGAGTAAATAATAATTGGCATTGTAACCTATGGGGAATGAGTAAATAATGAGCCAGAGCCAATGACTCAGAGCCAAATAAAGATTGTAAAATGTAAGAGTATGTACTTACCAGCCATGCTGGGTGTCCCTCATAGAAATGCAATCTTCCCTGCATGCATACAGTAGGAACACCAGATAAATAACCAAGGACAAGATTACCAGCATGACCCTGAACTGTAGGAGGAGGAAAAGTAAGAAGAGTGAATATTTTCAGGAATGGCCTGTATGTAATAATATTTGCTATATTTTAGCTATTAAAACTTTTTAAATTGATTTAGAATTCAAAAATCCATGAAACTTGTTATATATTACAGTTGTTTTGTTTTCTCACAGCTATTGATCAATTGTTAAGTGATAAATGGTAACATCATAGGCACATTGTAATCAGCTAACAGTGAGGAACAGAATGATAACAAGGTCATGGATTTTACAAGAGTACTCTTGATGCCAAGACTACTTTTGATTATAAAACATAACAATGAAACAGAAACAAACATATGAATTTTTTACCTGTGCATTTAGGAAAGCCATCAATCTCAGCGTAAGGTATTACCTGTTGGTCCTTAACCTCATTAGCTAAACCACCAAGACCTGATCCGCATATGATTCCCAGCTTAGGACGAAGCTTTGTTTTCCCAAGTACATAACTAGTGACCTTTTGTATCTCATCATATTGAATCTGGCTGTTCCTATTGTAATAAATAATAATAATTGTTTATAAAATCAATGGTCGGTTTGGTCAGGAGTATCAATGGAAGGTCAAGTTACACAAAGGAATGTTATCTGCGCATTATTACAACAATCATATCTACGGTACACATACTTTCTTTGCAACTCAGCTAAATCAACAGAGGTTTTGGCAGAGCCACCTAAAAGGCCCAGGAAAGACATGGTGAACTGGAGAAAAACCACTAATCAAATTTGTGTTTATCTTCAAAATCTTTCACACTTATAAACTGCTAGATTCTAATTAACTAGTGGGAGTGGCTAACGCGTCAACTCCCATTTCTGTCTTAAAATGGCGTCCATTGTAAGACCCTGTTTGAACACTCTTTTGTATTCCTCTCCTTTTCTGAAAGCTGCTCTCTTTTCTCTCATAGTCTTTGCCTTCTCTTCTTATTCCGAGCTATATGAATTAGGCGAAGCTG